ATACACTCGTACACATAAAATAAAAATTAAAAAACAAAAAGGCTGTAAGAAGCCAGAGAAGAGACATTCCAGGTAATGGCCACCAAAATTATTCCAGAGAACTGTCTAGTCTTCAGGGTCAAGAGACTCAGACCCTAGGCTGAGAGTTGTAACATTTGGCCACTGCTAATAGCCAAATCCAATATCCAAGCCCATATGGAGTCTGTAACACATGCAGGGCTAAGGGTCACTATACCCAACCCCTCTAACATTAGAAAGTGTTACCACAGCTTCTACCTGGCTGCTGCCAATGCTTGCTGCTGTCAAACCCTCACGGAAAAGAAAACCACCTGAGACCAGCATTTGCAAGGCTTCCTCACTATTCACGATTTCTATTCAGGTAGCCCAAAAGAACCCTCAACCAGCTGATTGGTGAACAGTGCCTGTCAGCCTTGCCTTGTGAGCTGAGTTGGCTGCAGCTGTGCAACAGGGGTTTGTAGAGAATGGTGGGTAATAAGCGCTGGCTCAAAGCTGTACTGGAAAATCTAGTGTTCTATAAACCCATTACCTTACATCTTTTCACAATGAAACTCAGTTGTATTTTGTGCCCACTTACATTACTTAGTGTAATAGCTTACTGGCACTATTCCAATTTAATTAGTCTTGATGAGTCCTAGTTTCACTATTTCTAAAACTTCATCACCAAGTGATTTTGCGATGCTTTTGGGGGTGTGAAATTCCTTGGTCTGTTACAAGGGCTGGGGAATTTTTTCTGAGTAAAACCAGACAGTAAATGTTGTAGGCTTTGAAGGTCATCTCTAACTACTTTGACCTTGGAGAGCAAATTTGAACTCATGTAGTTGTCACACATCAGAAAATGTTCTCTGCTTAACTGTTCAAAAATGTGAAAAACACTCTTGTCTCCCTGGATATACAAAAACAGGTGACCAATGGGATTTTGTAACTCCTGGTTTAGTTTATCTGCTTCCCTGATTCAACTTGGTGCCATAAAATGTTTTATTCCTCAGATTGCAATAGCATCTCACGAGGTAGCCCCAGCTGGCCTGGAATTCACTATGTAGGCCATCCCAGGCCCGCCATTCTCTCACAGAGATCCGTCCCCCTTTGTCTCCCAAGTTCTAGGATTAAAGGTGCCACCATGCCTGGGACAGATTGTTTATAATAATAAGTCTCATCAGAACATTTTAAAACTTTACAACCTTGCCCTTAGTTTTAGAAATCCTCATTTGGGATTCTTTGGTAGCATGCCAGGTCTAAACTGCTTAAAACAGCATTAAAGGCAGCCTGTCATTGAAATGTAGGCTTAGTTACATGGTTAATTCAGCTGCTCTACAAAGTCATCAGTATACATGTTTTCCATCTTTCTCTTCTATAGCTCTTATTATCAGACATGAGTAATGCCTTGTCTCCTGACTTCAAGACAGCTGTAGCAGCTCCAGACATCAATGCAGACATAAAATATTCAGCAAAGAGTGATATTTCCTTCCGTTTGTATTTGTATGGGTTTTTGTGTGTACCCCTATGTGTGCACATGTGTGCACATGCATATGGAGGCCAGAGTTCAACATCAGGTGTCTCCTTCAATCTCTCTATCTTATCTTTTGAAACAGAGTCTCTCACTGAAACTGGAATTCACCAATTTGGTTAGACTTAGCTGGCCATTGAGCCCCAGGGGTCTTCCTGTTTCTGCCTCCCCAGTGCTGGGATTACAGAATGCCTGGTTATTTTATGTGGGTTCTGGGAGATCAAATTCTGGCCTTCTTGCACGGTGTGAATGAAGAGTTCCCAGAAAAATCTTGCATATTGGACTGAACTTCCTGCAAGACTGATCAAGTGATTAGCACTTCAATGACTGAAGAGTTTGGACCATTACAGGAGATCCAGAGCCTATTTGCAATTTATCTTGGGCCATCTTTAGCCTATAAATAGCTACTCCTTGCCCACCTCTGTTGCTGACCTAATATCTTGTGACTAACAAAATGCATTAATTTAACAAAGAATCACTTCCACCAGTCAAACGGCTGAGTGCCATCAGATAGTATGAGTCCATAGCTGAGATTTCTCTTTTGCCCTGTGTTTCTACCAATATATTTGAACTGTCTTGATTTATGACTTTTCTTTATTCTGTAACTATAAAAACTTCATGAAACTGTTTCCCTACTAGAACATGGAATTGGTAGTAACCTGAATTTGTGTTCCCAGGCCATGGTCACTCATATTTGGCTCCAGAATAAACTATCTTTTCTCCCCTTTGAGGCAAGAGTTCCGCTTTTGTGTCAACAGCAAACACTTTACTGACTGAGCCTCTCCCCAGTCCCATGTATTTGGTTCTAATAGTAAGGCAAACTTTTCTAAGAAAAGCCCCTCTTCCCTTATAGCATTATCTTTATGTCCCATGACCAAATCAGTCTCTGCTGAAGAAACTGAAATCAGGATGATTATGGTGCTAAATTCCTTGTGTTTGGAAGGATACAGCTTATCTTAAGCAGGTGGTTTCAAGGTCCTATAACCAAATTAGGGTTCTGATGGCAAAGAAGGAGAAAAGGGCAAGGAATCAAATTTCTCACACAGAACTAGATTCTTAGGATTAAAAATTAAAGTCTACAGAAGGCCAAGGGCTGCCTATTTATTTTCCTTAAAGAACATTAGAGAATCTTCACGACAATTTCCCTAAAAGAACTTTTATTGATTTTTGTCACTTAAATAGGGTATATGTTGCTTTGTCTTAAAAAATAAAACCATTATTCCTATCAGATTACATTTAAAAAGAAATGTATCCTATTTTTTGCTTACTTTGTTTTCCCCCAAATCCACAACACTGCAAATGTAGCATAAGAATATCAAAAAGCTAAAAGCTACTATTTTTTGACCATTTGGGATCATCAAAGCATTGTCTAGTTTATATTATAAAAACAAAGTATAGCACTGATAACAATCATTAGTAACTCCAGTTTCAGAGGATCTAACACCCTCTTCCAGCTTCCACTGACATTGCATGATATGGGTACACTTACATACGTGCAGGAATATAAATATAATAGAAATAATAAATAAAAAAATATAAAAGTAGAGCACTAAATATGGTTCTAAGAATTATATATGTCACTCCCCCCATCTCTCTTCTGTTACTTCCATGGTTATTGTGATCTACCTCCCAAGTAGGAAAACTCATCTAAACTCTTCATTTGAAAGTCAATGATATGGGTACACTTACATACGTGCAGGAATATAAATATAATAGAAATAATAAATAAAAAAATATAAAAGTAGAGCACTAAATATGGTTCTAAGAATTATATATGTCACTCCCCCCATCTCTCTTCTGTTACTTCCATGGTTATTGTGATCTACCTCCCAAGTAGGAAAACTCATCTAAACTCTTCATTTGAAAGTCAGGGAGGGAGATGGTTATCAATTCCAAAGTGGCCTGCACTGAGTTTCTTGAGGCAGTACCATTGAAATCCCACCTGAGTGATGTTCTAGACTCTTCTCCTTAGGACAGAGAGGCCAGGCTTCTGGTCATAGTTCTGCCTTTAGCAGGTTTGTAACAGTGGGCAAATGACTTATCTTCTCTGGGCTCTAGTTGTTGTAAAGGCAGGGTTGGAATTATGTGGTTTATGAGGTCTCTGTTATAGCTAATCTATTCCCTTTTACCACGTGACCTTTGTTTCCAATGATGAAGGCTACAACAAATTCAAATGCCATATAGTACTACTGCATCCTGTGATGATGACATATCATGAAAAATGATAAGACAATTCAGTACAAGAATAAATGTTTTTTCTGTATAACACGTGTATACAGAATGTACCATAATGTACTGGGAGGCAAATTCTGTCCCACTCTAGGGACCAAATCAGAGGACAAATAGCCATATAAAAAGGAAATGTTAGGAAGGGTTTTTTTTTTTTAAACTAATATATTTGAAAATCTCTACTTCTTCCTTTGTTAATATTGAAACATATTCCATCACTATTTACAGAACAATTTTACCATTGTGAACTATCTCAGCTAAATTAACCTAACCTAAATTACTCTATTTTGCCCAAAACTGCCATTTCAAACAGTGTCTCTACCTGACCTAATTGAAAAATACCTAGAAGGGAGAGGCAACTTTGAGTTCCAGGAAATGGCCTAACCACAAAACCACAGAGTCCTAATCTAGGCCTGCACTTGACTAACTGCTTATTTTGCTTCTGTAAACCTGCTTGCTTTCCCAAGCCTGTGCAATGACAAGTTGTTGATTGGTAAATTCAAAGTTTGTTGTGTTTGAATTTTGCTATGTTACAGCGTAAACCTGATCGGCCCATAGATGTTCTGTTTGAACAATACTGTGTAATCCTATAAAACTCTGGCTGGCTGATGTTCAAGGCTGCTTCTGTTCCTGACACAGACAGCCTGGTCGGCCGTAAATAAAAAATTTTACCTTGCTGCTTTCAATTAAGTGATGTTGGTGATTTTTATTCGGGGTCCAACCTATAACACACTGGAACTCTAGAGATGTCTTTTACTTCTTCTAGAACTCTCTATGCTTCTTGAAGGAGTCACACAGAGGTAGTGCCATGAGACCCTGAAAAAACTGATTCAGAAGCAAAGCTTCATTTAGTGGCAAAAATAGAAGCCTTTGGCTGGTCCAGCTTTTTTTCTATTCTTTCAGAATAAGTTCCTGTGCTTACTAGTAATCTGATTTTTTTTCTATTCCTTTTTTCTTTTCTTTTCTCACATACAGAACTTTCTTTTCTGGAGGATTTACAGGTGTTGGGGGAGTTCAGTTATCTTTAAAGGACTTGGGGGAACTCTTCCTTAAGGAACTAAAAAGTGGGTTAATCAGATTGATACTTGGAAAGTTCCCCACCAGCTAGAGGTATCGGGTGTGGTGGTGTGGGGTGTAGGGGTGGTAGGGGTCTGGATGGCCTTCTTCCTCTTTCCCTGCCAGGCTTGTTGAGGGCTGAAGGCATGTTTTGAAGGGTTTCCACAGCGGCTTGCTGTTGCTCGTCTGATCAGGGTGACCCTTCACTCTGAGGCACTATGTCCAGGACCTCTTTCCCAGAAGGGTTCCTGGTGGCTTCTTCGTAGGAGGGCGGCAGGCAGGCAGAGCACTGGGTCTGGAAGACTGGCAGTGGGGAGTAGGGGACGTCATGCTCACTGCCCCAGGGCAGACCTGGCAGGAGATCTGTCACCTCTCCAGGTGGAGACTCTGGGAGGTCAATGCTGAACACCTGGCCCTGAGCCCAAGGCGCCTGGCAGCGGCGATACAGGAAGAGCAGCAGGAAGGCCAGGAAGAGGAGGATGGTGGCGGGAAGCAGGATACACAGGAAAGGTTCCACATCCGCTTGGGTGGAGCTGACCTGCTGGGTGTCCTGGGGTACGTGATGAAACGAGTTAGGAGATGAGTAAAGGCACCCTTGAGGAAGATTCTACATCTTGTCAAATTCACTATCGTTATTCATTGTGCCAATGAACGTTATCATAGTTGAAATACAGTGAATTAACTTGGTGAAGTGTGAATTCAGACTCTCAAGCACACATTGATAGGTTAACAGTATTTCCACCAAGGTAAAAAAAATATGAGGACAATTTTAGTTGGTAAGTCCATGACTCATTCTTTCCCTGGAACTCTTACTATTTGTCTACTTCATTTAGAATTAAACTAATAGAGTTTTATTGCCTCACACAACACTTCTTTTTAAATTCTGGAACAAAATCTCACATAGGCATGTATTAATGCCACATTAATAATAATAATTAATTATTAAATAATTCTTGAGTTTTGATTTGATAGCTGCCATGAAACTTATAATATCATACATCTGATTCTGTAATATTGGCAAGACAAACATAGACTTTTTAAAATTAATTAATCAATTACTTTCTGAGGGGGATTGCTCAGCCCTGACTGGTCTTGACCTTGCAGTGATTCTCTTGTCTTTGCCTCCTGAGTGTTGGGGTTACAGTTATGTATCACTACCTATGACCTGAAAGTTTTTGAAATGTTAAGGAAAAATAATTACACATAAACCAGCATGGTGACTGAGACCTGTAATTCCAGCCCTAGGAAGGTAGAGGCAGGAAGATCATGAGTAGAAGGCTAGCCTTGGTTACATAGCAAGTTTAAGGTCAGCCTGGGGTACATGAGATTCTGCCTCCAAACAGACAGACAAAGTAAATTATATATAAATTCCTAGGCAACCCAAAAAGTTTTAATTTTGTAGTATTAGCTCAGAAAAAAATGATGGTTCCTGATGGAAAAAATAATATAGTAGTCACAAGTTGATGCTTCAATAGGAAATTTGAAAGACAGCATAAAAAATACTGTTTTGATTGCATGCATATTGTTTTAAAAAATAGCTACCAAGAAATAAGGAATTATTTTAAAAAGTTTCTCTATCATATAAAGCATAAGTAAAAATGCAAACAGTATCTGCTACCATAGGAAATAAAAATATTTTAAAGCCTTATAGTGTGTTTTAAATAAGCAAAGAAAAAAAAAATAGGATAGATAAAATATTGAGCTTTTTATTGCCTATTCGAAATAAAGCATAATGCTGAACATAAGAGCTGGGACTGGAGAGATGGCTCAGTGGTTAAGAGTGACCTGGGTTTGATTCCCAGCACTCACATGGTGGCTAACAACTGTTGGAAACTCTAGTTCCAGGGGATCTGATGCCCTCTTCTGATCTCTGTAGGCATTGCAGGACACTGGTGCACCTATCTACATGCAAGCAATACACGCATACACATAAAAATAGAAATAGAGTTGGAAGTTTCTGTTTCTTATTTTTTGTTTTTTGAGTTCTATCTGACTTTAGTGGAAAAGACAAATGTTTTGGTGGCCAGCTCTCTAAGAGAATGATTCACCTCATGTTGCTTTGCTTGAATAATCTTTTTTACTCCCTAAAGACTTTACACGGTTGTGTGTTTTCTGACTCAGAATCAGGTGGTTTGTTTAGTATTTATACTACCAGTTATTTTTTCTTGGTAAGATATGAATTAAGGTATTTGGTTTAGAACTAGAGAGTTGGTTCAACAGTTAAGAGCACTTGCTGTTCCTCCAGAGGACCCAGGTTTGGTTCCCAGTACTCATATGGTGGCTGACAACCATCCATTGTGGTGCACTTACATACATGTGTATAAAACACTCATACACATAAGATAAAAGTAATTAAAATATTTTAATAAGATGTTTTGGCTTAAGCAGCATGAAAATCAAAGACCTTCTTGAGAAACAGACACCAGTGGGTGATCTTTGGGATTGACTGTGATCTTTGGGATTAACAGCTATTTTTTAAATTCTATCATTTCTGTGACCTTAGAGGTCACTTGCCTTCTCTGGATATGAATTTTCCCCTCTCTGAAATGGGAATTATGACTCTGCTTTTGAGGATTAGCAAGAGAATTAAGCCAATTAATGTGTATAAAGCTATTAGTGAATGGGTGTTGGGGAGGCTGCACACACCTTTAATCCTAGCACTTGGAGGCAGAGGCAGGTGAATCTCTATGAGATGGAAGCCAGCCTCATTTACATAGTGAGTTTTAGGCCAGCTCAGGCTACAGGGAGACCCTGTCTCAAAAAATAAAACCACAAACCAGGTGTGGTGGCTCACGCCTTTAATCCCAGCACTTGGGAGGCAGAGGCAGGCCGATCTCTGTGAGTTCGAGGCCAGTCTGGTCTACATAGTGGGTTCCAGGCCAGCTGGGGCTACAGGGAAACCCTGTCTCAAAAAGACCAAAATAAATAAATAAATATTGCTGAATAGTATTTATGATCATGTTTCAAGGGATTTAAATAGTCAAAATTGCTAAAAAAATACTGAAGACAGCCAGAAGAAACTGAGAAATTTCTTGATAAGGCTAGAACATATAGTGAACACAAAATCTAGCATTACCTAATTTTGTATTTTAATACTTTTTCATGAAAAAATTGTAATATATTTTGTGTATAATTACTGTATTTTTAAGTTAGGAATTTCTTCTGTCTTCTCATAAATAATCTAATTTAACATCGGAGTAATTTACTTAAAAATCTATTGTGACATAATAAGAACTTTTGATTACAAAAGTATAAGAATACATCAAAGTAGAAATGAATTTATTGAAATAAGAAATCAAGTTGGAGTAACAAAAAAATTTAACTATAATTTCTTTTCTCTTTCTTGTTTAATCATTAAATACATTAAAACTACTATATCTTTTAAAACAATAACTTCACTTCCAGTAAACATGAACCATTTCTCACAATGTGTTTTTCCCTTTATTCTATATGAAGAACACAAATGGTAATGATTTCTGAGCAACTATGGCCATCAAATTTAAAATTTTCTAGTATGGTTGATAAATTTAATATGCACTGAGTATAGAGATATTTAATATTTTATTTAAATGTTTTATGTAATAGAGCCTATTCTCAATGATGCTATGTTTTATATTATAAATATATGCAAAACTCTAGGAAAGGAGAAATAACATATTCTTGGCTGAAATCAGCATTTCACTGGTTGATTAAATTTGTCTGAATACTAAGTAGCATTAGAAGTCTTTTATCTAAGACAGAAGAATAGGACAATTTCTTGAGACAAAGAACTCTATTTTTCCAGTTAAGAAAATTTCAGTTACAGAGCAAATGTATTATTTGTTTATTTAATTATTTATGCTATAATGATTAAAGTTGTTGGGTATTTTTAATACAGAGAGGATATCATTCTTGTCCAAATACTCTAATTGTTTCTTTTAATAATTTTCTGATATTTATATTTATTCAAGGGGTATTTTAGAAAAACACTGAATTCAAGGTATGACTGTTGAAAGACCTATATTTCTATATCCTAATTTTTTCTGTAAATGTTGGTTTTAGAGGTTTTTTAAAACACTAATCACTACAGTTAAATTTCTAGACAACAAGGTAAGAGGTTTATTTCCCTTTCTTGTGTGGTCAGCATATCATTCATTTATCCTTTGATTATAGCATTCTTTGTTTTTAGTTTTCTGCAAATATTTTTCTTTAATGTTGCCCAGATTGAGGCTCCTTTGGTGATTTACTAGACAAGACAAAGCAGCTCTGTTTCTTGGTGAGAGAGAAAACCTCTTTAACTCCCTGCTCTCCTTCCTGAAGTTGCTTGGTTTCTGTGAACTCTTGATATAGTGTTCATGACACAGCAAAGGACCAAAAGGAACCTCTTATTTTTGTATATATAATATTGACATTGCTTATGGAGCAAAGAACAAGGTTAAAACACAAGGGCATAAAAAACTGATTACTCCTAGCCTCAGGTGTTCTTTGATATCATCCATATAATCCTAAGGTATATTTGTGCCAGGTTTTACTTGAATGTATCATTGTCAACCCCCCTGCCCCTAACTTTCCAGTGATTTCCTGTGGACTATGCTCACCACTGAACTCATATTTTTCTCATATCAAGGAAACAAAATGTGGCTCCAAGTTTTAAGATCTGAAAAAATACAGGCATTGTTGGCTTACAAATCTGATCAAGATACTTGGAGGGAAGAAAGGCTGAAGTCATAGATACAGACCTGCAGCTGGGTCTCCAGAAGAGGCAAGCTTGGTTCGCTGGTTAACCACTCGTATGACCCCCTGCCAGCATGTCCAAACTTCCTCCAGCTGCTGCCCAGCAGTCTCCGCATGTTTCCATCAGCTGATGCCCTGGCCACCCTTCCACCCTGCTGCCCAGATCTTCACAATGCTGCTTGCTCTTGGCTTGGCATGGATCCAGGGTGGGTGTGTTGATAAACTTGTCTTCTGATGAGTGGCAACAGGGAAAAGCATCCAAGCAGAGGGACCTCTCCCGACTGACTATATTTAAACTCAGTGCCTCTAGATTTGCTTTTGTGGCCTTTCTCACCAGAGGGGTTGGAAGGTGTTATTAGAGATGGAATAGATTTCAGGTGGGGAGTTCCTGCATTACACTGTTACAAAGTACGGAGCTGTTTGTATTTAGATATAACTAAGACCCTCCTTCTTCCCTTCTCCAGAGGCATATCTGATTAAAAAAAAAAACTATCCAGGCTGAATTCTCTTTAATAATTTCTGGATTCTATAGTACAGAGCAGCAAAAGGTTATTTGGTGGAGAAGCAAAGACCCATTAATAATATTTTACTGAATTATTTAGATGAAAAATGCCTAATGATAAAGTTGTACTGAAGCCAGGCAGACAATAGCTTAGATTGTTTGGATGGAATGTTTGCTGATGTGATTTTTAAAAAATCAAATTACTGGTATCTTAATAGTCTTCGTTCAGATTGTCTTCTGAACTTTATACTAATACTGATAGCAAGTTTAAAATAAGAGGCTTTCAGTTTGAACATTTACTGGCTAAATTTGGGATATTTAATTCCAGATATGTGTTATTTAACATTTAAAACATTGTCTTAAGTCTGTTTGTGCTGTTATGACAGAATACCTAAGAGTGTATAACTTATAGAGAACAGAAGTTCATTTCCTGTAGCTCCAGAATTAGAGAAGTCCAAGATCAAAGTGTTAGCACTTGGTGCATGCTGAGGAGCTGCTTGACAGGTCCTAACATGGTGGAAGACAGAAGTGCGGGTTAATCAAAGCTGTAGGAAACCTTCCTAAGAGTCTAAATCTCATTCATGAAGGAGATGTTCTCATGGCCTAATTACTTCTTAAAGGCCCACTTCTTAATTCCATCACATTGGCACTACCTAAAGATGGAAGGAGATACATTCAAACCATAGCAATGACAGTGGTTGAATTTGAGTGATTGTTATGTATTGAAATGATATTTATTAACTTGAAAATTTTTTTTGCCTTAACTAGAATTGTCATCTACTGACCCATGGTGGTCCATTATGGGTAAGTTTCAGGGAGTGGTAGACTCATCAAACTTTGTAGATAGGCACAGTTTGGGGTGGGGGGGGACCCATAGCTTTCATTACCTTTTCAAAGACAACTGCCCTCTCATAGAACTTGGTTCTTTCAAAATTTACTTGTGGTATAAGTTTTCACTAGGTTTCCCATTGCTTACTGAGTATCTGCACTGATTATTATTATCAGCTTGACCCAAACTGGAATCACCTGTGAGGAGGTAACCTCAACTGAGGAATTTCCTCTTCAGACTGGCCCAAGGGCATGTCTGTGAAGCATTTTCTTGATTACTAATTTATGTAGGAGGGCCCAGCCCACTGTGGGCAGTGTGGGTCTAGGTTGTAATAAGAAATCTAGCTGAGCAAGCCAAGGGAAGCAAGCCAGTAAGTAGTGTTTCTCCATGGTCTCTACTTCAGTTCCTGCCTCCAGCTTCCTGCCCTGCCTTTCCTCAGTGATGAACTGTTGCTTGTTTTGTTTTTTTGTTTGTTTTTCTGGACTTTTTGAGACAGAGTCTTCCTGTAGCCCCAGCTGGCCTAGAACTCACTATGTAGACCAGAGTGGCCTGGAACTCACAGAGATCCGCCTGCCTCTGGCTCTTGAGTGCTGGGATTAAAGGCATGTGCCACCACACCTGGCTGATGAACTGTTACTTGGATGTCTAAGTTGAAATAAACCCTTTCCTTCCCAAGTTGCTTTTGGTCAGAGTATTTAATCACAGCAAAGAAAACTAACTAGAACAGTATCCTAGTGTTCAAGTCTTTTGAATTTCATCCTTTATTATAGAGTAAACTTACTTTAGAGTTTTCAGTCAAAATGATTCCCTGTTCATTGATATGCTTCTGTTTTTTGTTTTTTGTTTTTTGTTTTTTTAAAAAAAACTTGAATCTCTCTGTCAGAAATATCCAGCAACCTATATATTATTTTGCTTTCTTCTATGTCGGTGGCTTTTCCAATACTATGACCTCAACTTGGACATCTTGTTCTATCTTATCTGTTTTTATTTAAATATCTTCATCTCTTGAGAAGCAACTTGGCAGTATGGATTAAAAACATTAAATATACATCTATAACATCAACCCTTCTGCAGAGAACGAATCAAACAAAGCTTCTTGCTTTTCCAGGACCAAGAGAAACAAATTGTGCAAGTGTGTGTGTGTGTGTGTGTGTGTGTGTGTGTGTGTGGCCCCAGAGGGGTACCTACTACTGCTACTTAGCTAAATTGACATATCCTCAAACTGCCTTCTAAGTATCTATGCTTACAGCCACAAACAAAGGCTACTCCCCCACTTAATCAGAACAGCTTCTCTTTCCTGTGAGTGGAGGTGAATGCGGAGACCCATGGCTGTACACAATGCTGAGAATAAAGGATGGTTGAGGGCTCAGCCCTAAACTAGATGTTTATCCCATCCCCTCTTAAGGCTCAGGAAATATTGTGGAAAAGGGGGCAGAAAGGGTGAAAGAACCAGAAGACAGGTGAAGACTGTGATCTGCTAAGCATATGACATAGCCTTGCCTATCATGGACTCACAGCAACTTTGCCTGCTGTCATTGGCCTACACAAGTTGGGTCAGCCCAACAGTGAGCTCTGATGGAGAAACCATTCACAGGGACCTACTACTTATGGCTGAATTATTGGCAACTAACTGATTTTGGGAGAGAGGGAAACAACTATAACCAGTTGTATACTGATTTGTGAGCCCACTACGCTGTAATGAATAGTTCTAAACCAATGGTCATTATATTAGTCACTTCTGTTGCTGTGATAAAACATCACAAACAAGGCAACTTATAGAAGGAAGAGTTTGAGCTTAAAGTTCCAGAGTGTTAGAGCCTGTGATGGCAGGGGAGGCAGGAGGTGGCTGGAGCAGAAGCCAAGTGATCACATCTTAAAGTAGGCACAGGAAGCAGAGAGCAATTGGAAATCTGGCAAGGCTTAAGAACTCTTAAATCCTGCCCCCAGTGATGTGCTTCCTCCTGAAAGGCCTTACCTCTTAAAACCTTCCAGAACAGTGCCACCAACTGGGTACAAAATGTCCAAATTCTTGGAACCCTATGGGGGACATTCTCATTCAAACCACCACATTCCACTCTAAAACCCTCTGGTTTTAGATTCCACTGCTCTAATTTTTCTGGAACCATAAGCCAAACAAACTCTTCCTACTATAAGTTACCTTGGTCATGGTGTCTTATCACAGCAGCAGGAAAGTGACTAATACAGTCACAGAGACAGCCCTAGTTAAACTCTGTGGGACACAAAACGACAAGTCATGAGTAATGGGAAAGGTTTTGTAGAGAAGGGGGCTGACAGAGGTGGGAGGGAAGTAAGAGGGGTGGTAATGAGAACACATCGTATACATATATGAAATTGTCAAAGAACAAAATTTGTTTTTTTACTTAATTTTTATTTTAAAATTTTATTTATTTTATGTGTATGAGTGTTTTGTCTGCATTTGTAGGTAAAGGCACCACATGTGTGCAGTGACCATGGAGGCCAGAAGAGGGCATCAGATTTCTTGGAACTGGAGTTATGATGATTGTTAGCTGACATGTGGGTGTTGGGAAATGAACCCAGGTTCTCTGCAAGACCAGCCACGGCTCTTCATCACTGAGCCATCTCTTCAGCACCCCCTCCAATTAATTAAAAAAAATTTTATTTATTATTTTTATTTTATGTGTATGAATGTATTGCCTGCATGTATGTGTTGTGCAATACTGCAGAGGTCAGAAGATGGTTTCAGATTCCCCTGGAACTGGAGTTAAGGACGGTTCGTAGCTACCATGTGGGTGCTGGGAATCGAACCCGGGTCCTCTGCAAGAGCAGTCAGGGCTCTTAACCGTTGAGCCATCTCTCCAGGCCCAATTTAATTTTTTTAAAGGAGGCTTATACACTCAGAACAAATTGATATGTTATAAGGAAAACTCTCGTAGTAATTGCGCTTCTAGGAATTGCTCCTAAAAAATCTGACAAATCATCAAAGATATATATATATATATATCTTTGCTTATATATA